AGTGAAGAGTAAGAGAATGAAATATTCCCTCAAGAGTTTTCTGTTGTAAATAGAGCTGTGCATTAAGCTGCTGTGAACTGGAATGCTTTCAGATGTTTGAATGTGCTGGGTTTGTCTTCATTAGCTGAGGATGGTAACACTGCAGTTGGCCTTCATCAGAACTCACTGTAAGACTTGATGATGTGGGTATGTGATGTGCTTTTGAAATGCTTGCCTTGATCTCAGGCTTTAGGTCTGCCTCACCACTGGTCATCCTCCGGTGTGAACACTGGCTCCAACCTGTGGTCACCTTAAACTGCTGACTGAGAGCAGTAGCCATTCATGCCTGCTTTGTAATCACTGTTCTATAAATGACAGGCAGTGAAGAGGAGTGAGTAATCTGCTTGTGATGTTTAGTTGGTTCAAACTATATCATTAAACATGGTGGTAAAGAAAAGGTTCTTAGTCCTCACTATTGTTTGTATTTACTTTGGGGGACCTGACTGTGAGACCATTCTAGAAAACGTATGTTTGGATTTCTCAGTACAGTCACCTGGTATATGTGTGACATGGTGAAGTTGGTTCACCCTTCTGTGCTTTACTTCTGCTTTAATATCATTTGTTAATGTGGTTACTCCAAAGCTTATGATGGTCTTTTAAATTTTTGCAGTATAATTTTTCACCCATTTTCCCATAGAATAATAATGTTCATTTTCTGGAGCAACTTCTAGTTTGTGGGACAAAAAAAAAAAAAAAAGAAGTCTTTTGCTGCTGTAGTTGGAAAAACCCAGAAGGAAAATATTCTGCTGTTCTTACTGTGAGACCACTGAATAGAAATGTCCCTGCTTTGGAACAAACACTACTTTCATTTTAGCCTGATCTATACCACAGATTAAAAATGTTTCTGAAATCTGTTTTTGAGTGTGTACAACAGACAGGATGGTAGTGTTGATACTGAAGGTTGTTCTATGACCCACAAACCACAAAGCAGCATCTGCACCTTTCTGGTTCCCTGTAGGATTCAGTTGTTTGGTTGATTCTGCTATTTGAATATACTGTCTTTCATTGAAGCCTTACCTGTACAGTTTCTCGATGTACAGGATGATGTTTAGCACCTGTATTATTTCCTGCAATGTCTTTTTGCACTGGGAGAAGTAGGCTTCAAAGCCAGACCTAGTTCTAAGTACAGTTTACAACAGTGCTATTTAGCAGAGAGCCTGCTGGGGTTTTCCAGATCCTTTGGGAGATTGTGTGTACCTGGGATGAAAGGTCATCTTCCCTTTTATTACTCTCTTTTCCTTCTCTTATCCTTCTTCCTTGTCGGTAGTAATTTGGTAGGCAGATTTATTTCCATTATCCTCTGCTACCCACATAAATTACAGAAGGAAATAAAAGGAGGATAAATAAAACTTTGTTGTTAAAAGCGTATCACTTCCAAGAAAACAAAACTTGATTGATGTTTAAGACTTTAACTTACTTTTTCCTCTTTCTTCTCTGTACTGGCAGGCTAAAGAACTTGACCATGCCTCGTAGCCCAACATCAAGTGAAGATGAAATGGCACAAAGCTTTTCAGACTATTCTGTTGAATCTGAATCTGACAGCTCCAAAGAAGAAACCATTTATGACACAATTAGAGCAACTGCAGAGAAGCCAAGCAGCAGAATGGAAGACAGTCAGAGCAACACGTTAGTGATTCGAATTATAATACCTGATCTGCAGCAAACGGTAAATCATATTGCATTACAAATAAAATGAAGCTGAAGCTTTGCTGGCTTCAATCTGGAGTAGATTTGTTCTCTTACAATTTTGATATATTACAGGCAAAATTTATGTCATGTTTTCTTTTAATGTGTACATTTGGTACCGTGGCGGTAGTCTGACTGACAGCCTAAACTAAAGACACCATTGCACCCAAGAGAGTGTATTTAGTATGTTAACTTGATAAAAGTTGTGATCATAAAGCAAAATACCTGTCTGATCTGCATTCAGAGGCATTTGGATAGAAGGAAGAGGATTAGAAAACTAAAATCTCATCAGAAGATGAGTTGAACCCCAAAATCACGTTATCACATATATGATACCCTTGCATCTACATAACCCCGCTGTTTTCCCTAATTTCTCTCTTCGTGAGGTAGTTTGTGGTTTAACACTAGATTGGAGTCTAGCAGAAGGTCATCAAATTTTTCTTTCTACCATGTTTGTTGCCTTTCTCTGTCATCCTCCCACAACAGGATATCCTTGTTAGGTAGCTGGCGGCTTTTAGAGTGTAAAGATGAGGAAAGAGAAGTACGAATCACTCCTTCCTCCTTTGCTGCTATGCCTTTACTACATGGTGGTGTTTTTCAGACTTCAACCCAGAGAAATCAACTCAGTCTGGAGGAAGAACAAAGCTTGGCATTGATTCTTAACAATGACATGAGATCTCTGTTTTATTCTCTCCCACTTCCTCACCACTTATACTGGGAACATACCAGAGAGGATAAAATGAACCTTTCCTGATTTTCCTAGACGAGTCGCTTGCAACCTGTCTTGTGGAACAATGGCCTTTTCTCACATCCCTAAGTCTGTTGGATGAAAATAGGGACTTTTCAACAAAAGACTTAATCTCCCTTATCTTACAGAAATAATTGAACAGACACTTCATTTGTTAAAAAGTGGCTGATTAATTGGGTAATTGTGTTTCTTTTATGGTTGAATTTCTAAAGTTCAGTGCCTGGAATGTTAGAGCATGAGGTTGGAGAAGTTTGCTGTTGTAACTTTGTAAGTGAACAAATCGTCCTCTGTAAGTGCTATGATAGGAATGACAGTCTCATCACAGAGAAGGTCTTGGGAGTTACTGATTCTATCTAGAACCACAAGTGTTTGACTAATTTCCTAAACTATCCTGGGCTTCCTTGAATGCTGTTGTTGGGATTTTCAATTGATGGTAGTCTGAAGACACCAGCCTTTTCTCATTTCAAAGATGATTATACAACACATTCTTTTAATGAATGTGTGCTGCATGCATCACTCTGTGCTGACATTTAAGATCTACATCATACTGTGCTGCCATTGAAGATCTATCTCAGATGAAATTATTCCTTTCTTTTTAATTAAGTTCATTTGTAGACTGATAGGGATGGGCTGTCTGCAGGCTGACAGGGAAAAGCTGTTTTGACAGCATGGCCTCAGGTGTGGTTGTAGAGCTGTTTTTTTTAAAGCCCAATCTCCATAGTGCTGCAGAAATTCAGGGGAATGGGTGTCAGAGCTGGGAGCTTTTTCTCTTAAACTCTTGTACTTCAAATCCTTTTAGATAAGGATTGCTACTGAAATGCCAGTACCACTCCATTAGTTGATATGGGATGAGATTAACCTCTGTGAAGAGGAAGTGGTGCGGGACCTGAGCTGGCCAGGAAAGCTGCAGAGGGCAGAGCAGGACTGAGGCTGCTGTGAGCCGCACAGGGTTTGTATTAAATCTTGGCTGAAGCAGTCATCACCTTGGGTCTTACATTTCAATAGCGATTGAAATACTGAAATCCACTGTTGTACCTCTTAAATTTAAAGGATTTTGCCCCTCGTGTAGTTCTCTGTCGAGACAAGCTCTGACTGGCCATGGTTAGGATGTTATTGATGATCCTACCAGCTTGCTATGTCTTGAACAGTGTTCAGTGCTTAATGAATAGATCCAGTAAAATGGAAAGATTAACTTGACTTGCTAGCTTTACTCTGCTCTTAAAACTGGGGAGACAGTAGCCTCCTGAAGCCCTCTTATTTCATTACTCTCTTTCTTAGACCAGTACTAAGTTATTTATTGACACTATTGAAACAATTCTTATTATTAAATTTAATTTTGTGCAGGAAATGAAATGAATCAAGAAGTATTTTTGGTTTTGTATTTCATTTGATCGTTTTTATTGCTTTACCTTCTGTGCTTTTTTTCCTTCTTAATAAACCCACAATGAAAAGTAACTCAATCATTTTAAATAGTTCTAGAGCAGATGATCCATTTCTGATTTAATTTGTCAGCCCACAGGCTCTTGTACAGAGAAGTGAAAGTTGGGTTCAGGTTTGCAGGCAGGAAAACCAATAGCTTAAATGTAGCATAGCAAAGTTTGGAGATGGTCATAGCTCACGAGCTATGGTATAGCTACAAGCTAAATCCAACACACACCCCATTTGCTGTATAATTATAATTGATTTAACAAAAGAGGTATTTAAAATTAGTCTGTTTAATGAAAGGAGCATGAAATAGCAATATAATGTTATGTTTTTATTCTTGATTGTTTTATAGAAAGTATAATCAGGAAGATATTTGTTTAAAAGAAGTAATTTAGGATTTTAGATACTCAATCCATGGGGAAGCTTTAAACCCCTCCTTAAACTCAAGAGGAATAAAAGTTTGCTCCTCTGCAGTGGCTGGTGTAAATCACCTTTATTTCATTGCATGTATGTAATAAGCACTGAGTATCATAAGTAGGATGTGCTACTATAGAATCATAGAATAGTTTGGGTTGGAAAGGACCTTAAGATCATCTAGTTCCAACCCCCTGCAATGGGCAGGGACACCTCACACTAGACCATGTTGCCCAAGGCTCTGTCCAACCTGCCCTTGAACACTGCCAGGCATGGAGCATTCACCACTTCTTTGGGCACCCTGTATCAGCGCCTCAGTACCCTCACAGTAAAGAACTTCTTCCTTAGATCTAACCTGAACTTCCCCTGTTGTAGTTTGAAGCCATCATCCCTTGTCCTATCACTCAGTCCCTGATGAAGGTCCCTCTCCAACATCCTTGTAGCCCCCTTCACACACTGGAAGCTGCTCTGAGGTCTCCACGCAGCTTCTCTTCTCCAGGCTGAACAGCCCCAATGTTCTCAGCCTGTCTCCATACAGGAGATGCTCCAGCCCCTGATCATCCTCGTGGCCTCCTCTGGACTTACTCCAACAACTATGTTGAACATTGAGCACAAATCAAAATGAGCAACTTGCTTCCATATTTCTGTCATCATACCCAACTCTCGTTTGCATTTCCTACTTTTGATTGTCACATCTTTAATATCAACATCTTCTGCTGAAGGGAATAACTTGTATTCTGACAATCACATTTTGGAAGCAGCTGTGCAAACCATTTGTCATGGTTCCTCTCTTGCAGTAGAGTTCTGTGTGATTGACAACTTTGTATGTCTGGTGAAAAGATGTGTTGGTTGATAAGTTTTGAAGAGATAAATGTTATTCCTCAGAGATTCTGTATCATGAACATTATTCCTATTGAATTAATATCTACCCTTCAGCTGTACAGGTGAGCTATATTTTTCCCTTGCTTCCAGGCATACAGTCGTGGAATTGTAGAATCCCGGGCTGGAAGGGACCTCAAGGATTATCTTATCCAACCTGACAGTCCTTCTGCTGTGCTTAGTGACTTAATCTCACCAGTATGAAGCGATGCAAGATTTTAATTGTCCATATCTCTCATGTTTCAAAGGTCTCACATTTCAGCAGCCAGTGTTGACATGCAGTCTCACTTCTAGATTTGGATTTTGAGTGGCCTAGTGTGCTTCTGACAGAGTTTTTGAGCCACTCAGGGCTTCTTTTGTGGTTCTTATTAGAAAGAATGTGTATGTAGCTAGCCTTCAAGACACTGTCACATTTAATCTGGTCTTGGGATGCAGCACAAAAGGTGGAAAGAACAGATCCCATGTCTTTCAATGGAAAATATGTTTCATATGTGCTGATGTCAAACCTGTGGAAAGCAAAATATTTCTGAAGATACTTATTGTGCATTACTGATGCAATGTGCATAAACACTATAGAAAGATTTATTTTCCATTTAAATCTATTCTGAAGAACATTTTTCTCTGGCCCATGTGCAATCCCTGCATCCTGTGTTGAAGTGTGAGGCGTCAGGGGTACAGGGATGTTCTTTATAGCGGGCAAGGAAGGGACTCCTGTGTTGCAGCTCTGCTGTGGCAGCTGGTTTTGAGCCCTTCTCATGGCTAAGTATGGGGTGAGTTGGCAGCACTGAACATTCCTAAGGCACATCAGAGACAACAGATTGGTTTCTAGGCATTGCTGTCTGCTGGTAGCTCGTAACCAGTGAGTGTAACATAAGCTACAGTGGAAAAATCCCTAAATTTCTGAAATTCCTGAATTCCAGCCTGGTGAGAAGCAGAGAACTGGGAAGGATCTTCAAGGTTTTCAAGTCTTCTGTTGCTTCATGTCATGTAGTTCCTCCCATAAACTTACCCTAGGATGCATGGAGCTTAAAATGAATTGGAATTCTTGCCCGAATACTGTTATTTCATGCAGTTGTTGCAGATCAGACTGGTTGGCAGAAGGACCTAGAATCAGGTGGATAGCTAAACATCTTGCAATATCCCTTTCAAACAGGCTTTCTGTGAAGTCATCCTTCCTGTGAAGAAGGATGTAGGCTCTGATGTTTGTGTCTTCACAGCACTTGTACATTAGTTGTTATAGAGGAATGTGTGCTGAAATACAGCTCTTGATACACGTTTTTGTCATGGAATTTGTAGGTTCATTGTGTATGTTTCGTATTTGTAAGTTTTAGAATGTAAGATACTATTTAAATGTTTTTCATTAATTAGATCTTTTAATAATTTCTCTTTGCAGAAATGCATTAGATTTAACCCAGAAGCTTCAGTGTGGGTCGCAAAGCAACGAATTCTGTGCACTTTGAATCAGAGTTTGAAAGATGTCTTGAATTATGGACTGTTCCAGCCTGCAAGCAATGGTAGAGATGGGAAGTTTTTGGATGAGGAACGACTTCTTAGGGAATACCCACAGCCAGTGAATAAAGGAGTTCCTTCACTTGAGGTATTTTTAGATCTAATATCTAATATCAAACTATACAGTGAGCTGCATTTGGGGTTTCTACATGCACCTGAATTGCTTTTGGAAGTAGTGATCAGCAAGTCTGAAATTGAACCCTTGCTCACTGAAGTGCTGGAGTTCATTTGCTCAGTGGAGCTGTTCCATGTGTTATCCCCCAGAAGGTTGCAAATAATCAGCAGCTTTGGGAGATCTGATTTTGAAGTTTTCCTCTGCTGAGGACGTGGGAGATTCTTATGTCTTATTCTGTGATTTAATAAAGAAATATAAAGTTTCGGGTTAAGCTTTTGGGTCTCTGAGAAGGTTTGCAATAGTAGGGTAGCAGCTGGTAATTAAGCAGCCTTTGCTTTCTGCCACAGAAAGGGTCTTTCTGTCTCAGTGAAGCCTTTCCCCCCTCCATTCTCATTCCCTCTGTTCTGCCCTCCTTCACAGCGCACATATTTCCTTTGTCTCCTGGGAAAGCAGGAAGGGAAGAGAGGGTGTGTATGTGTGAAGCAGTCACATGCAGACACTGGGGTTTCCCCCTCTTTGTTGCTTGTGCAGAGGCTGTGCAGCTGGGGCATAAACTGGGCAGAACTATTGTGGCACTGGTTGAACATGGAGCAGAGCCAGCTCCCTCTGAAACACAATATAGCAGGAAACTGGGGCATGAAAGTAGTATTCAATTAATTTTGGTATTCTTTGTGTGGTAGTACATGAACCACTAATAATCTGCAGTTCATAAATGTACTCCACTATCACACAAATCCAAGAAAACAGGACCAGAGTTGGAGAAGGCTTCAAGTCCAGTTTGTCTATCAGTTTACTTCAGAGATTCAGTCACTGGTATCCATATTATAGCCATGAGCAAATTAAATAACCACTTCATTTCTCTTCTGTCATGTTGTTTTGTAAGTGTTCACTGCAGAGTTCATCTCCCTGCAGCTAAAGGATTGCAATTCAGGCCTTAAAAGGGATCTTGGGAAAAGCTGGTGTTAAAGCCTCATTCAGCATAGTCTCATTGTCCAAAAGACCTGCATAATATGATTAGATAAGAATAAATTATAGGTAAAATTATATAAACCCCATGGTTTGTGCCATAGATGCCATACTCTGGGCACAGGGTAGCCAACTGCTCAGGGTAACACATGAGTGAGTTTCAGCTGCAAAAAGAGGCAATGCTCTGAACCTCAGTGACCAGCCCTGTTAAACATCAGGAGAACTATTCCCATGTGTGAGATCTGCCTATGTGGATTAAGGGATTTTTCAGGGTTCTTTTTTTTTTTTTTTCCATTTCACAAATGCTAAGCTGATATTTTGGAATACATATTTTTGAAATTCAACATGCCTTCCCACTTCCTGTTCCTGCCTGAGGCTAGGAATGAAAGTGCACAGAAATCCTTAGGGAAAAGCTCTTTTCGCTGTAATTCTTGCTTATTTCTATAGATTCCAGAGGCCGACTTCATTTTCCATCCACCTCCACTGATTTCAGTTTATTTATACAAGATGAATTTTACTTACACAAACTGTGTAACTATGATGCCACTGTGTTAAGCAGAGTGCTGGTTGGTGGTGAATATTCAAAAGGCAATACTAAGCCTTATTTGAAATCTTGCCTAAATCTACATCGTTGTGAATGATACTTCATCAGGGACTGCAGTGATAGGACAAGGGGTGATGGGTTCAAACTGAAGCAGGGGAAGTTCAGGTTAGCTATAAGGAAGAAGTTCTTTACTGTGAGGGTGCTGAGGTGCTGGCACAGGTTGCCCAAAGAAGTGGTAAATGCTCCATCCCTGGCAGTGTTCAAGGCCAGGCTGGACAGAGCCTTGGGTAACATGGGTGTGAGGCGTCCCTGCCCATGGCAGGGGGTTGGAACTGGATGATCTTAAGGTCCTTTCCAGCCCAAACCGTTCTATGATACTTTCTGGTAAGGTCAGAAAATGACATTATGAGCTTTTAAGTGAGATAGGATATTTAAAATGACATCTTTTTTTCTCCCTCAGTTTCGATACAAGAAAAGAGTGTACAAACAGTTCAATCTTGATGAAAAGCAGCTGGCCAAGCTTCACACCAAGGTAAGCCCAGTTGACTGGGGAAGTTAGCAGTTGCCTCCTTAGCAAAGTAATGTGTCTCAGGAACTGGAAATAAGTAGGAGTTCATTCCCACCTGGGCCTATTGCTGAGCAACAAACACTGTGTGCTGCCTGCACCAACAGGGATGTGTGAATTGTGATCTGGGAATTCCTTTTACAGAAAAATTCCCATGTTTGACTTTTGCATGCGTATACTAGTAATTTGAAATGAAGCTTTCTTAGTAAATACAACGTGCTTTCAGCATGCTGTGACAATGCCCATCTATGTCTATAGATTCATTTACAGGTCAGAATAATAATGATGATGACCATACACCATCCTAAATTCTTAATGAATCTTTTACTAATTTTTTTTTCCTTAAAACTGTAAAACCCCAGAATTTTATTACTGTATTGGAGTTTTGAACCTATTATACCTATATAAATAAATATCTAAGGGGGGCCTACAAGTAATCTGGAGAGGGACTTTCTACAAGGGCCTGTAGGGACAGGACAAGGGGAATGGTTTTAACCTGCCAGAGGGGAGATTGAGATGAGCTCTGAGGCAGAAGCTCTTCCCTGTGAGGGTGCTGAGGCGCTGGCACAGGGTGCCCAGAGAAGCTGTGGCTGCCCCATCCCTGTCAGTGTTCAAGGCCAGGGGCTTGGAGCACCCTGCTCTAGTGGAAGGTGTCCCTGCCTGTGGCAGGGGGTTGGAACTGGATGAGCTTTGAGGTCCCTTCCAACCCAAACCAGTCTGGGATTCTATGATTATAAACCTCAGGGTTTATGCTCTCAGTATAAAGTTCTGGAATGTGCATTAGCTGATGTTCAACGTCAGTGGATCTTGACATCAATTGCCAGAATATGTCACTTTTAGTAAAAAATTTCTTTCTAAAATTACAGGATCATTCATTTGTGACTCTTTTTCAGGCTAATTTGAGAAAGTTTATGGATCATGTCCACCATCTCTCAGTGGAAAAAATCACCAAGATGTTGGACCGAGGACTGGACCCAAACTATCATGACCTAGAAAGTGGAGGTTAGGACAATAAAACAAACACCATAAAGTTTGTTCAACCTGAATTGATTAATGGGCTGAATCTCTTGTTCTTTCTGTTACCTTCATAACTCTGGGCTAATGGAATCTGTATGGTTTTGTAAGGAGAAAACTTACAATTTATGATTTTCTTTGAGCAGCATTTTTCACTGAACATTTTAAGAACAAATATTCTTTATTTTATCAATTTGCTCATCTTTTTTCAAGTACGTGCTATTCTCTTCTTTAGAAACACCCCTAACTTTGGCAGTTCAGCTTGACAATACTGTAGAAGTGATAAAAGCTCTGAAAAACGGAGGAGCGCATTTAGACTTCAGAGCCAGAGATGGAATGACAGCTCTGCACAAAGCAGCCAGAGCCAAGAACCAAGTAGCCCTCAAGGTAAATGCTTTCAGCAGCAAATGATACATTATTTCATAGGAAACAAGTATATAAAGGAGAATGTTTTCAGTTAATTACTGTATTGTCCTCAGTGGATCCTTTAATATGTGCTTGTTCCAGTGCTTCCTTGTGGCTTTCTAATCTTAAGAATTGCTTTCACTAAAAAGGACCTTTTCATTTCTGATTTTGTTTTGGTAGGAATTAAAAGCAGTGGAATTTAACCTTATTCATCGGCACATTGGGATATACGAGTGGCAAAGTTGTTGCTTATCTGTCTGAAAGCAAACACCAGTGGCATGGATTTGTACATTTTATCTTAACAGTCTCTTCCGTTAAGCATTTTTAAATCACCTTGATAGTTTAGATTAAGTCTTATGTTTATGACTTTTGCTTATTTTCTTCTGACAGACATTCACATTGCATGACATTTTTGATAAGGCATCTTGTAACTGAAGAGGTGAATGTGCTGCAGAGGTGATGTGGCATTTTCAGAACTGAGATTTCGGAACTTAATGAGAGGATGGAAATTGGACTTTGCCACTCATCCTTTCTTTGCTATCCCCAGAGATTCCTGCAGATCCTAGTTCTTCTGAGGTCATTTCTTGCTTAACTTTTCTGTGCTGCAGCCCAAAGTCTTATCAGCTTATAAATAAAGTGAGCAAAATACGTATCTTGTGGCTATTTCAACCTTAGGAATACTTTCTCAGGTAAAGTCCCTTTATAGTTACAAGTCCTTCCAAAATCTATTTTTCACAGTTTGTGATTGCTTTCAGACCCTTTTAGAACTTGGAGCATCTCCTAACTACAAGGACAGCTGTGGCCTAACACCACTGTACCACACTGCTATTGTGGGAGGGGATCCGTACTGCTGTGAGCTATTACTTCATGAACATGCTACCGTCAGTTGCAAAGATGAAAATGGATGGCAAGAAATTCATCAGGTAGGAAAGATTAATTTCTGTTTGGAGTTGAAGTTGCAGGAGGAAATGTGCCATGTATATTCTATGGTTAAACACTGTTTTGAAGGCCATTTGGGTGTGTTTAGTCCATGCACATACAAATGTGGCATTTCTTCCTTTTTCTATTTGCTTATTGCTTTGCATCCTGCTGTGGTGAATTAGAAGTGGAAACTGTTCCAGTGGAGTTCTGTAACTTTGAAATCTTATGATTACTGTGAATTTTGCTCTAGAAATTGCACTAGTCCTATTTCTGTAATGGACTCTTGGAAGTTTAGCTTCCTATTAGAGGCACTTCGGTAAAAAAGTGTAACTGTGTCTTTTTGCTAGATGCCAATTTTAGTTTCCTTGGTGTGGTTCTTCTGTGCTTGTCAGAGGTATTTTCTCCTTTCTCTCTGGTGAACTTGACAGGAATATTTGTGTTCAGGATGCTGCTGCTCGGATCTGTCAGTGTGTTGCACTGAAGGAAGTTAAACTCTTACATACTCACAGTTTGAGTCACTTTTCATCCCCTGTGTGTGTGGAAACTGGGATTCTAATGATTTTTCTTTTGCTGTTTGTACATGGGTTTTCCTTTTCTCTCATATTCAGTGTGTAGATAAAGGTGGGACTGTACTCTATTAAGAAAAATGATTTAGAAAAGTAATCATTTGTGGTTCATGGTGCTCACATAGCTTGAGTCAGTGATAGTGCCAGAATTCATCATTGGTTGACTTCACCATAGCTATAAGGAAGATAGACCTCTTTAGATAAGAGTAATCAACCTCACAGGCCTGCTTAGATTATCTAGGCTCACTTTCTTTTCTGTGCACTGATCTTTTTAGTACAGCACTTCTGTTCTTTGAAAGAAGTGGGAGATAGCCTTGGTACCCAGGTATCTGAACTTTTTCACTGTGTAGGAGTGTTCAGGTTGAGGTCATTTGGATCCATCTCTAGTAAGGGGAAAAAAAGCACGTTAATTTACTACCATCATTTCTCAGGATGTTGAGGAAATGGATTGTCTAGATCAAAGTGTTACCCCGTCTGGACTCATGGAAAATACAGGTTAAAACTCCCTGTTTTGAAAACCCAGCTTCATAGACATATGCTTATTATTTCTCCTAATGACACAGAGTTTTCCAAACCCATTGCATTGGTTGTAAACATTGATTTATTTAGGATTACATCTGGATTATGGGCAATCTGTCTTCAGGAATTGATAATAGAAGTATTCCTCAATCAGCTAAGAAAGGTGATGATATGACACGATCCCATATGTTGTTGTCTGTCTGAAGAAGGGGAATTCACCTTACATGGCAAGGGAATGATTGGTACCAAGTGTATTTTTTGTTTTGCTAACACAATTTTTAACTGTAGAAGTTAAGCCTTTGGGTTTCTCATAGGGAAAAGGTAAGGTGGTGATTCATGCTGTGCTGGGAGAACAGTAAAAGGATTTCCCCCGGAGATACCTGTCTTTCTCTATTGACTGTACTGGGGAGCCCTGGTGAATGATTTGTTCAGCTCACCTACCCCACAGACCCCTACAACAAGGGGAAATGCCTCTCCCTTGCACTGGTTGTCTTCCAGCACCTCCCCTAAGGATTATTGTCAGATGGGTGGAGAGGAAGCAAAGCAGAGAAAGGGCCTGGTTTTAGTCCAGTTCATTGTAGTGGGAATAGAAGGTTGGAATTAGTTCTTGTATTTTATGATTTACTTAAATAGTTACATCTGTACATTTCTACCTGGATGTTGAGTGACTTTTAGAGACTAGACAGGATTGATAATTTATGGCTAATTGTGCATTTGCTCTAATCTCCCACACAGTCAGAAACACAGTTACAGTTTAGAATCATAGAACCAACTAGGTTGGAAAAGCCCTTTAAGATCAAGTCCAATCTTTCCCCAGCACTGCTAAGGCCACCACTAACCCATGGCACTGAGGGCCTCATCTGCACGGTGTGGGAACACTTGCAGGGACGGTGACTCCAGCACTGCCCTGGGCAAGCCTGTTCCAATGCCTGAGCACCCTCTGGGCAAGGAATTGTTCCTCAGCTCCATCTAAACCTGCCCTGGTGCAGCTTGAGGCTGTTTCCTCTTGTCCCATCCCTTGTTCCTTGGGAGTAGAGACCAGCCCCCTCCTGGCTCCATCCTCCTGTCAGGCAGTTGGAGAGAGTGGTAAGGTCCCCCCTTGAGCCTTCTCCAGACTAAACCCCTCCAGTTCAGAGCCTTTTCTCCCTTTTTCATTGTTGGATGCTCACTGTCTGTGACCTAGCTTTAGAATGTTCCTGTTCCAATAACCACTAAATAACTAATTTGTAAATGAATAAACTGTTAAATAAATGCTGATTTTTCCCTTTCTGTGTGTTAAAAATTGAAAATGGAGTAAGAAAAGATGCAGTGGTTAGGATATTAGGCTGGGATTTGGGATGCGTCACAGATTTGATGTGTGCGTTGAGCAGTACACTTAATTTTTCTCATCCAAATCGCAAAATGTGTCAGTTTGTAACTCCCACTGAAGTCAGTAGTAATTAGGTACCTAAGACAGACTGAGTGGCTATGTACACCTGTATCTCTTAGCTTAAAATCCATATTATTATATAGGAATGATACTGATCTGAGATGATACGAAGTCAAAACCATTAGAAACTGGGAAGTGCTCAGCTGGGGTAGAAGGTGGTCAAGTAAAGGAGGCTGTTGAATGGAAATACTGTGTTTTTTCCTCAAACTCTTACTTGTAAATCAGGAAGATTTCTAATTTCAGTGGAGTCTTGTTCATAGAGGTTTATTTCCCAGTATTCAGGGTCTAACATTTGATTTGTGTGGCTGATAAAGTAACTTGTGAAGATTTTCCTTCTGCTGGATCAGTGCCATGTGTGTACTGTGTGACTATGTGATATCACAGAATCAAGGAGATGATTGCTTGAATTTTGGCCAGATTTCCCCAAACTCTTCTCATACCTTCGAAGGAAGCTTTGGAAATCTGATCATCTTGAGTGCCATCTAGCGGGCACCTTCCGAAGTTTAGCAGGATGAAAACCATCTATGTCTGCTTGCCGCATGTGACAGATACAAATATTAGTGGATAAAAAGTCCCAGACTTTGTGTTTTCTCGATCCCTTCGACTGCCATTCCTCAAAAAAGCAGATGCTTAAACTTATGCACAGACTTGCTGGACCTGAAGTGAACACGTTGGTGTTCATGGGCAGATGTGCATATCTGGGTGCATATCAGATGTTCATATCCTCCCATTCAGTGCAGCGGTGGTTCTAAAACTCAGACCCTAAGTAAAATAGCATCTTCTCTGCTAAAAACCTTTACCTGGATTGCTTGCCTGGATTGAACACTGATCAAAATATTGGTGCTTCTCTTCCCAGGCTTGCCGATACGGACACGTCCAACATCTGGAGCACCTCCTCTTCTATGGCGCCGATATGTGTGCGCAGAATGCCTCAGGAAACACGGCGCTGCACATCTGTGCCCTCTACAACCAGGTGAGCTGGTTCACACTTCCTCTGCCAGTGCCACTGAGTCCTACCATCTTCCTTCAGGGACATAAAGGTCCCCGGCAGGAGCTGAGAGGTTCCTTCTGCATGGTTACATGGGGAGGGATGTCTTGCTTTGGGAGAAGGGGAGTCCAGTCGTCTGGAGACTGGAAACCAGTGCTGTGAGAGAATGACATGTAGCCAGGAGGAAAAAAAGGTGTAATTGAGATACTAAATTTGTTCAGCCTTTAAAATTTGTTAGTTTATCCTTGAGAAAAGAAGGCTCAGGGGAGACCTTATCACCTTGTTCTGGTATTTAAGGGGTGGCTGCAAAGAACATGGAGATTCCCTTTTTACAAGGAGTCCCATGGAAAAGTTGAGGGGTGATGGGCACAAGTTACTCGTGGGCAGATTCCAATGGACACAAGAGGAAAATTTTTCAGCTACTGGAATAGTTTCCTCTGGGAACTGGTGGATTCCTCAACATTGGACACTTAAGATTTGGCTGGACAGGGTGCTGGGCTGTTGAGTCTAGGTCATGCTTTGCCAAGAAATTTTGGACCAGATGTTCACTGAGGTCCCTTCCCTGGGGATTCTATGATTCTAAATCTTTCATGTCCACCCGGAAACAGAGGCTGGTTGAGTTTTCTGGTGAAGAAGTTTACTGGTTTGGTGTTAGGTTTTCCTGAGATGTAGTTTCCTTGCTTTTAATAAATTCATTTGGGATAAGTTTCCCATTATTATTGATCTGTAGAGGCAAGGTACAGTGAAAAACAACATAGCTCATCATTTCTCATTTGTTTGTTTAATATACAATGAAATGTTACAGGTTTTAAACAGGGGTGTTAGAAAATAGGACATAATTAAAACCTACCTTTTAGTGTTTTATTCACTGATTACAAATAAGGCTATTCACTGTAGGTACCCAGAGTATACATATTGATTAGAAAATACCATGTTCTACCAGCTGTTTCTATCACATCTTAAGTATTTGTTTCCTAAGTGTTTTATTCACTGATTACAAATAAGGCTACTCACTGTAGGTAGCCAGAGTATACATATTGATTAGAAAATATCATGTTCTACCAGCTTTTTCTATCACATCTTAAGTATTTGTTTCCTCCTCAGAATTTATTGCTGGTTTGCTAGAGATTAAATTAGAATGAAATAAATACTTGGAAAGTAGTGGGGAAATGTCTCTGTAGTTGACACAGGAGACGCCAAATTCTCTGCTGTTTACAACTGGTGTAGCCATTTACAGATAGTACAACCGTTTGATTTGATGGCGTTTCATACTCTCTTTGTGTGGAAGGGATAGAGAGGGAGTAAGTTTTACAACTTTGTTAAAACGCAGCAAATACAATGTTACATTGAGTTAGGAAAACACAAGTCATGAGATGTGACTGAAACATCTGTTACAGCATCTGCTTCTTCATTAATCACCATCTTAGTTCTTGTCAAAAGCCTTGTCAAGACAGATTCCTCAATTAGGTCTAAAATACCCTCAACGTTTTAATAAATAGAATTTTGGGAATAATTTGATATTTTTCAAGACTGCTGACTTGCTGCATGTGTCAGAATTGGTGTCACTTCATAGAATCCAACTGTACAAATCTCCTCAATGCTGATTACTTGAAGTACACAGCACTACAGGGGAGCAGTACCACTATGGACTGCTGCTTGCTCATTATCTACCACTTCTGTTGAAAAAGAAAGCAATTAAAAATACTCACTTTAGCCTCATTTGCTTCGCTTTTGCTGAGGCAGAATTGGGAAGCCCAGACCATAATGCACATAGAAACTTAAAAACCTGAACTCGCCTCTGTTGGTTTTGTAACCATTTTATTGCAGTATTTTCATGGCTGTAGCTTACAAGATCACACACTTGTAGGTTACTGCATATGATACATGCACTATGATGTATCTTTCATGTATGAAAGTATTTTTCACGAGGAGGTGTGTTTTCCTTCTGACCTCAGTGGAAAAAAGGATTCTGTAGAAGATGTGGAGACTCTCATTGAAATTGTATCTGCAAATCTGCAAAGATTTTTGTAGTCATTAAGCTTGACTTTGTGACTGGGAGTTTAACATCTCATGACTATGCTGTTAGGCTTCTTTTTTCCTTAATCGTGGAATCACAGGATCGTAGAATGGTTTGGGTTGGAAAGGACCTGAAGATCATCTGGTTCCAACCCCCTGCCATGGGCAGGGACACATCACACTAGACCATGTCACCCAAGCCTCTGTCTAACCTGACCTTGGACACTGCCAGGGGGCTGTGAACCATAACTGTGCTGGCCTTTTTCAGTGTCCCTTCTGTTGAAAGTTGTTATTAGCTATTGCAGAAGGAATGGTGTGTTGGCCTTTTCTGGATGGAGAGGATGACAGCAGTATCCTTTTTACCTCTTGACTCCTGTAGAGGGAGGCATTACCCATTGGATTTTTCCTTCCAGTTTTCCGTGTGGAATTAGCTGATGCTTTCTGAAGTTCTGTTTTCGTGAGCGTCAGCTAGATGCTGATCTGAATAAACTCTTGTTTCTTACACTTATTTCATAGTCCCCCAGTCACTCAGCAAAATCTTACACAGATTATACGTGCCTTATGTTTTTCAAATTAAAAAGCCTGGGATGAAATGTAGCTTTCTTCAGTCAGTGGATTGGATTCTATATGAAAACTGTTGTAGTATTAAATCAGGTAATTAGATCTCAGACAAGAAACTTAATCTCATCTGCTGACAAGCCCACACTGAAGTCTAAAAAGCTATTGCATATTCAGTTTATGTATGATATAATGAATGAACAATACTAAGCTCTCAATAGAAGTTATTAGGTTGTCAGAGCTAAGAGGTGCAAACAGGAGTTACAGCTTTCGTAGGTAGCACCTTAATGACAGAGACCTCTGAAATGTGGAATTTCCATTGAATTAACAAAGGAAAAATAATCAAAATCATGTCTGGTGGTGAGGTTTTTTGCTTGTTCTCCCTGATTTATTCCCTTTAATACTGGAAGGATGGGGAGGAGACAAAACGGAGAGCTGAGAATGTTTCTGTTTTAAAAGAATAAATAAGTAAATGCAGTATTTAATCCAAAAAAGTTCAAATTCTACTTATCAAAACCATTGACTAAATAAACCACTTTGCATATTTGTTGTTACACTGCAGACAGGTTAAAGTTTGGAGAGTTTTTAAATGTGTAATTCTTCTGGTTTTGTAGTGTTGCATGATTTATTCTGATAAGCAAATGAATAATTAGTCAATAAGTGCAGTATTTTTCTTAATATCAGTATTTCTATCCTCAAGTTCTTGATCAAAACTGAGCATTTTAATATAAAGGGTTCTACAAACATTTCCAGTGTGTTTACTAAGCAGTATGTGCTGGCACAGTGGAGTAGTTGTTATTATGGGAATATGATACAGTGTGCAAACCCAGAATCATTCAGGACTCAGTCAAAAAGCAGTTTGTGGAAAAGTAACTCTGAAAATAACTTTATTTTTTTAATCTGGAGATCTTCCTCTAGATTGGAGCATATTGACTTCTTTTGGATACAGAACACAGGAAAATGAGAGAAACATTTTGACATTGGAGACATTGTTCTGGGTCGTAGGGTCATAAATGGTTTGGGTGGGAAAGGAGCTTAAGATCATCCAGTTCCAACCCTCTGCTATAGTCAGGGATGCCTCACACTAGACCATGTCACCCAAGGCTCTGTCCAGCCTGGCCTTGAACACTGCCAGGGATGGAGCATTTATTACTTCTTTGGGCAACCTGTGCCAGCACCTCAGCACCCTCACAGTAAAGGACTTCTTCCTTATAGCTAACATGAACTTCCCCTGCTTCAGTCTGAACCCATCACCCCTTGTCCTATCACTCCAGTCCCTGATGAAGGTCCCTCTCCAGCATCCTTGTAGCCCCCTTGAGACACTGTAAGCTGCTCTGAGGTCTCCACGCAGCTTCTCTTCTCCAGGCTGAACAGCCCCAATGTTCTCAGCCTGTCTCCACACAGGAGGTGTTCCAGCCTCTGCTCGTCCTCATGGCCTCCTCTGGCCTTGTTCCAACAGCCCCATGTTCTTCTTATGTCGAGGACACCAGAAATGCACATGTGTCTTCCTATGTGCAGAGATACTGAGAACACACCTAGAGTGCAGATTTCAAATGCAAGCAAATAAGACTATTCCAATTAATTATATATTATTAAAGTTACTATTTATGGGATGATTTTTTAATGTATCATCTTGTGATATGATCCATTCTGTGGTTTCAGTCTGTGGTGCAGGATAGGAAGTGTGGGAACAGAAGAGGGTGTCTTTTGGAGTATTGAATCTTGGGGAAGGGGTAGGATAGCCTCTTCCCCAAATATATTTACAACAACCTGTTGATGGAGGACTTACAACTCAGAATCTAGTAACTAAGCCCATTTCTGCCACTAAAATAGCTGACTTGTGTGATTGTTTTCTCTGGCTGCAAACTTACTGTTAAAAATGAAAGGTAACACATTGAAATACTTGATTAAGTGAAACTCCAATATCACAACATGACATGAAATCTGCAAAGCACAACAGAAGTAACAAATATTTCTGATAAGGAAACAAAACCATCTTGAAATGTGAACTGCTTTGCATAAGGTCCTATGATGAGCATTAAAGATGACAAGTAGGAAATACAGTCTTATATGGATCATCAGAAATTCTAGTATTCCAAGAACCACGCCAGAACCACAGAAGAGTTCTAGCAGATTATGGCCAGTTGTATTTTACAGCACTGTGGAATAGAGACTTCAGAAATCCACTCTTTTGGTCCAAAAAAGTTATTTTTAAGGGATTTTGTTTGCAGATTTCCTCAGTTCAGAGGGTTTGAAGCCTACTTTTCTCTTGTTAGAAGGGCTGTGTTGGGTTTCCACTGTAACTATTAGTATTTTTTAGGGGAAAAGAGGGAAGGTAAGACTGGTCAGTGCAGGGTGTATAGCCAGTATGAATAATTTCAGGTATATAAAAAAACCATACAGAACATTAGATGTTTAAAATTGAAGATAGGCTGGAAATAAACTCAAAATAAGCTCATGCAAGTGGTAAAACTGCTTTGTTTCATTTTTAGCAGTATGGGAGGATATATTCATCCCAGGTACTATTTACTGTACTGCGAACTGTACTTCCCTACAAAATAGGCAGAGGCCATATAAGAGTCAAACTCCAGTTTGAACTAACACATTTCCTGCAAAATCTGATTTGTCAGGTATGGAATTTCCATAGGACAGTTTCTTAAACATTTAGTAAGATGTTTTTACCTCTCTCATTCCTCTACATGTTTTCATACTCTCATAGTGTTTCTACTCTAACCCACTGTGAAGCACCTAAAGCCTTGTCAGATTTAAACTAGTATTTTAACAACTTAAGTTCTTGGATTATTTATTCATTTTGTTTGATCCATACCTAAGAAAATACATACCAAACAGCAACACATCTCATAGCCACAATATCATGTTAATAACTAAGGACCTTTATTAATGAGTTTACTCTTCTACTGTTTTCAGGAGAGCTGTGCCAGAGTGCTGCTGTTCCGGGGAGCTGACAAGGAGATAAAGAATTACAACAGCCAGTCTCCATTTCAGGTAAAAAAGAACACCCCTTCCCTCTGCCCTCCAGAGATATACACCTGTAGCGTAAGATAACTGTCAGTTTTAAAACTGTGGCTGTTGTGGAATGCTGTAAGTGAAGATGTCCTGGAATAGCTAGGAATGAGAGGAAACCACACTCCCTTAGCTGGTGACACTGTCTACGAGTTTGAGAATTATATGAGCTGTGCTGATAAAACATGAAATGTCCTGCAGTCAAATGTACCTTGCTCTGTGATTATCTCGTCCTCTGTAAGATAGATCTAAGGGGTGACCAGGCAGCTCAGCTTTGCTTGGCCCCAGTTGACTTAGCCAGAAAGAAGCTTTTCCTTCCTTGGGTGTGAGGCCAAAGAGCTGGGTTAAGTTTCAGGGTGGGATTGCTTTAATGCACTGTCAGTGGTAAAAGTTGAAGCCGTCATCTCCATCTCCAAAAGAAAACAAGTGTTTCTTCAGGTTAGTCAAAACTTACCAGATGATTTTTTCACTGTTTTCTTATATTGAAGTATTTTTCTGAAAGCTCAGTTAAAAATCCAAATGGAAGAAAATTGTTTGTCCAAAGGGTTGTCAGGTATGGCTGACAACCTTAAGCTCTTATTTCTGAAGCAGTCTTAATTAGCCTGGATTTCAAACATTCCTAATGCAAACTGACATGTGAGGAATAGGGATGAAAGCTGTAATGTCGTAAGAAAAAAGAACAGAAAGAATTTTTTTCAAGTTATGGAAAATGGTGCTTCTGGAAGAAGGATGGCACAGTGCTACTGAAAGGGACTGTCCTCCTGTGAAATGCGAGGGGCTGTTTCCCAAAATCAAGTAGTCTTTCAACCAGAAGGAATCCTGCTTTACCTTTGCTTGTTGCATCTTTCCCATTACATCCTCGCTTTGGATAATGCTGGCATAGAATTCAAAGATGTTCTTGCTCTTTTCTCATGCTTTGACAAGTGAAATAGTTGGGATATTAACTGTGTCCATGTGGGTCTCTGAGTTGGCTCCTCAAAGGTTATGTGTAGGTAACGCCTCTGAATGTCAGGCTTTTAAAACTCAGCCAAGTAATTCCATATCAATTTAACTATCTCCATATTTTGGATGTTTTCTCGGTGTATGTTCTGTATCCCAGGGTATTCAGAGTTCTGCCTGAAAATCTCAGCCAGTTCATTCTTGAGTTTTGGGACCATTTTCCCAAAACTGGGCAACAGTGCATTAATAGTTTAATTTCAGATGTCATATTTGAACTGCTGATAGTCTGCCACCTAAATATGTACTAAGCACAATCACTGCACATTAGAATTACAGAATGGTTAAGACATGGAGTAAGAGGAAAAACTAATTATTAGAGGGATGGGTTCTGGTGTCATCTCTTTACTCTTTACCTTTATTTACTGCTTTATGTCTTTGAGATTAATATTTCTTTTTGATTTAGTATTTAATGTGGGGAAGGTAAACGGCAGTTTCCATTTGTCTTCCTCTTTGTGCCTACTGTTCTTCCTCTTAGATCAAGAAAATACAGGGGGGAAAAGGCAGAGAAGAAAACATTTTTAGAGGCTAGAGCTGGTGGGTGTAGGGCTTGGAGACATGAAGGATGAGTAGCCAAGGCTAAATAAAATTAAGGGAGCACAGGAGACAGATGAAATAATTTTAGGAGTAGGGTATAGCTGTGGAAATTCATTTACTGACCAGTGAACTATGTCTAGGCCTGACGGAATAAAATCCTTTCTGTTATCATTTATTATATGTTACTACATAATATTACACTATATAGTATTATATGTTACTATGTGCTACATATATTATTATATATAAAATTATATGATCATCCCCCTGTACTCAGCACTGGGGAGGCTGCACCTCGAATCTGTGTTCAGCTCTGGGCCCCTCACTGCGAGATAGACATTGAGGTGCTGGAGCGGGGCCAGAGAAGGGCAACAGAGCTGGTGCAGGGCCTGGAGCACAAGTGTGATGGGGAAGGGCTGAGGGACCTGGGGGTTTAGTGTGGAGAAGAGAAGGCTCAGGGGGGACCTGATCGCTCTCTGCAACTGCCTGACAGGAGGATGGAGCCAGGAGGGGGCTGGTCTCTGCTCCCAAGGAACAAGGGATAGGACAAGAGGAAATGGCCTCAAGCTGCCCCAGGAGAGGTTTAGGCTGGAGCTTAAGACCAATTTCTTCACAGAGAGGGTGCTCAGACATTGGAACAGGCTGCCCAGGGCAGGGCTGGAGTCACCATCCTTGGAAGTGTTCACACACCATGTAGACAAGGCTGTCAGTGACATGGGTTAGTGGTGGCCTTGGCAGTGCTGGGGAATGGTTGGACTTAATGATGTTAAAGGTCTTTTCCAACCTGGTTGATTCTGTGATTCTATGTCACATTTCTGGTGCTTGGGCTTTTGACTTCCCCTAGCACGGACAGAAGGACTGGCACATAGGTTGGCTTTGTTTTATCCTTTCTAGATCCACATTCCTAAAAAAAGGAAATTACTCTATGGTGTCTTACTTTCAGGGGTAAGAAATGCAGGAAAAGTTCTAGTTTCTGTGGCTGGAGTGAGTAGAGAAAACCATGACACCAGCACTGCAATAAAGCAGCATTAAAATTAATTCTTGGCCATCTGTTGCTGACCCAGTGGATCAAACACCATAAGTGAAGTTACAAACCTGTGCAGAATCCCCTTGAGTTAATAGGGTTTTGCATACTAAAAATGTTTACTCATGTAATCAGTAGCAAGGAACATTGAAGCATCTCAGATGTACATTATGAGACCGGTTGTAGCTGCAGCATCTATTCCTTTGAGTAACCTCCATTATGTTCCTTTCTCAGAAATCTGAAAAGATGATTCTTTTGAATTGCTGCTTAGAAAACTGATGATATGAAAACTGTGCTATTCTGTAAAACAAAAGGATCCAGACATGGAGAAATTTGTGTGTTGCTTTCAAGGCCTGCCAAAGCGTTATTTATTTGGATGAAAATGAGCAGCAGAGTTTGTATCTAGCATTAGCTTCAATGAATGTAGTGTAATTTTACCACCAGAGAGGATGTGCCTGTGTTCACTTCTTACCAAATCACAGGGCTTATTAAAACAAGCACGGCTTTATCGGATCATATGGAGGGAAAACTAATCTGGACTGAACTCTGTGCCACTTTATTCAGGTATCCCACATTGTGTGCACATCTCTGCCTGGGATCTTTTCTGTGTTAGCAAAGTTAGTGTTGGAATGGCCTAGGCAGAAAAAGCTTGTCTTTATTTCCTAATGAAGCACTTAAGCTTTTATTAGCTATCTTTGAGGGAGCATGTTTCATCCTCACTGATGACTGGGGTCCATTAAGTTAGTAATCAGTGTTGAATACAGTTGATGTCACCCATAGCTGAAAGTGTCTGTGACTGTCAGCTGTGGTAGACAGTGCTCATAGGCTGTACCCTGCAATCACAGAATATGGGTCAGCAGGAATTTCATAGACTCACAGAATCACAGAGTGATATGGATTGGAAGGGATTGTAAAGCTCATCCAGTTCCAATCCCTTGCCATGGGCAGGAACACCTTCCACTAGAGCAGGTTTGGTTCAAGTTAGCCAACCTGGCCTTGAACCCAGCCAGGGATGGAGCATTTCTCTATATGTTTTTTTGTGGGGTCTTCCCCTCACTTAGTAAGTATCAATGTTTGTATGGATGCGAGGTCAATCACAAATCCCTCTGTCCTCCCCGTGGATGTTCCAGGTGGATTGGGGCAGTTCCTCCATCACTGTCTTTGGTCTAAGTGTGACCAAGTGAGGAAATTGTGTGTACTGTGTGTTTTAGTTAAAGGGTGACCAAGCAATGAGAGGTAGAATGAAACCCGTGCCACATCATTATATTCTATTGCCAGTTGTTTATTCATCACTCATTTATCCATCCTGTCCTGTCTGGGTAATCAAAGTACCTTACACACTAATTATTCTGTACTAACAGATGGAAAAAAAGCCAGTGGCATTACAGAGCTGCAAGTGCTAGTTAATAATAAGCTGTTACATACATGGGGCTTGGCCATTTATCCTTTGAAGTAAGTAAAACTGGAGCAGGGATGTGCTTTCCTTTGTAGGAGTGAATGGATGTGCCCTCAACCATGCCTGCTGTGAGTACTGCTTATGCCTCCACAACAATTCATTCATACCTTATGATAGAACTTGCCAAAACATGATGTTTGCCACCAACACACACTACACGATTTACAGTTCTCATACACTGGCTTACAAATGCTGAAATGTAACTTCTGTTCCAGCTATAGGTTAACTTCAAGGTTTCCAGTGGTTTTAGGGTTTATCTTGCCTTTCTATTGTATTAGAAAAACACAAAATACCCTTTCAGAAAAATAGGTTATCCATGATATCCTATCAACATCCGTAGTTTTCCACACATTACATGTGCTCCGAGATTAATGTAAAATCATTTCTTGTCTATCTGGCAAATATTAATCCAGTAGCTTGGGAATCTGAGTTTTGCAGTGTTTACAAACTGTTGATACTCTCTTGTGTAAGTCAAAATGATGTTTATCATGTTTTTCCTTTTTCTTCTAGTAGCAGAAGCTCTGTGAGTAGTTCATGTGATTTCATATGGGCTATGAAGCACTTTCAAGCTTTGAGCTCATCGCGCTAATAATTTGTCAGTGTTTTTAAAGCACGTGTGTTCATATACACTATTCTAAGGTTCATTTAGTGACACCTTTTAATGGCAGAGTTGTACCTGAGGATGATTTCTCTCAGGTGTACCTGAGTATTGACCGTTGCTGTCCCAGGTCAGCATGGGTTAGCGTTGTGCTGATGTTACATAGATGGCAGGAGGAGCAGTGGTCTACAGGCTCCACTGCAGGTAGAACTGTTCCTTTCAGTGTGTTGGCTGTACAGCTATTTTCAACTGCTCATATTTTTGCCAGGTTTGAGTCATTTGAAATGAAATTTTTCCATGCCTGGTGTCAGGCAGCATTGTTCAGAAAAACAAAATGATTCAGCTCTTTCGGTGGATGGGTGAGGGAAAAC